AGTCAATTTTGTTTAGAAAGTCATTTACTGAATCTGGCTCCACAGCACTCTCAGCTGTGCATTCTAAACCCCAGCTACAATCTGTTTTAAAATATATTTTTCTCATATCGCTGTTGTTCTTTTGCCAACCTCCTTAGCTCTTCTGCCAATGGAAATAGTTTCTGTCTCTATCTCGAACCCACATAAGTTTGAGCACCCTTATCAAAACTTCTCTCAACCTCCGAAAACAAACTTCAGCTTCCCCACAAGTAACATAACTGAAGCCCCTGAGCCCTGGAATCATTCTTGTCAATCTTTGCTGCACCCTTTCTGATGCTTTCACATCCTTTCTAACTTGCTGTGTTCAGAATTGGATGAAACACCCACATGTGAGTAACCCTCTGAAGACAGTTTGATTTGGATAAATGCGTGGCGTTGCATTTTGGTAAAACAAACAAAGGTAGGACTTATACCATTAAAAGTAGGGCCTTGGGTAGTGTTGTAGAACAGAGTCACCTAGGGGCTCAGGTACATAATTCTTTGAAATTTGTATCACAGGTAGACAGGGTGGTGAAGAAGGCGTTTAGCACGCTTGCCTTCATTGCTCAGACCTTTCAGTATAGGAGTTGGGACATCATGCTGAGTTTGTACAGGAAGCATCTTCTGCAGTTCTGGTCTCCCTGTTATAGGAAGGATATTATTAAGCTAGAGAGGATAGAGAAGAGATTTACCAGGATGTTGCTGGGAATGAAGGGTCTGTGTTATAAGGAGAGGCTGAATAGGCTGGGACTTTATCCACTGGAGCATAGGAGGTTGAGGGGTGACATTACAGAAGCTTATAACATCACAAGGGGTATAGATAAGGTGAATGGTGGGTGTCTTTTCCTTTAGGTGGGGGATTTCAAGATTAGGGGGCATATATTTAAGGCGAGAGGAGAAAGATTTAAAAAAGGCATGAGGGGCAATTCTTTTACACAGTGAGTGGTTCGTGTGTGGAATGAACGTCCAGAGGAAGTGGTCGATGTGGGTGCAGTTACAACGTTTGACAAATGTTTAGATACGTACATGAATAAGAAATGTTGGAAGGATATGAGCCAAGAGCAGGTAGGTGGCAATAGTTAAGTTTGGGATTATAGTCAGCATGGACTGGTTGGATCAAAGGGTCTGTTTCCGTGCTGTGTGACTCTGTGACTCTAAGACAGAGATGAGGAGGATCTTTTTTTGTCTCAGAGGATGGTTAATGTGTGGAATGGTTTACAGGAGAGGGCTGTTAAGACTGGGTCATTAAGGCTGAGATGGACAGATCTTTAATCATTAAGGGAATAAAAGGTGATGGGAATAAGGCAGGAAAGTGGAGTTGAGGATTATCAGATCTCATTGAATGGTAGAGCAGACTCAATGGGCTGAATGGCCCACTTCTGCTCCTAAAGCTTATGACCTTATGGACACTACATTTAAAGATGAACCAGTCTTATGAAGGTTCCTCCTTACGTCCTTGCTTCAGTATTGTTTTGCACTCTGTGGAATTGTGCCATTTATGTTATACTGCCTCATCTTGAAGGCCCTACATCATCTTGTACTACATCAGTGCATTGTTAGCAAGAAACTGCTAATGCTCATAAAAAGTGGACACAGTTGTTGATGATGGTGATGATGAATGTTTTATTTCACGTGCTACAACAGGAAGAACAGTAAAATATAGTGAAAAGCTTTTTCAATTTCACCACTATCCGACGCCATTTTGAATAATTTAAGAGTAAGGACAAAAAAAAGATAAAGCTTAAAGAGAGTCCGTCAGTCCTGAGCCAGCTCATCACTATCAACTATGCCTGCTGTACCATCCCTCTTCCGCCGCCATCGGGGAAGGGATGCTTCCTTTGGTCTGAACATACTCACCTCTAAGTCGGAGGTTCTGTGTTCAAGTCCCACCCCGGACTTGTGATCACAGAAATCTAACCTGGTACCTCAGTGCAGTACTGAGGGAGTGCCACACTGTCAGAAGGGGCATCTTTCAAATGAGCATTTCAATCAAAGGCCCCACTGCTCCCTCTGGTGATCTCTCATGGTACCATTTCAGAGGAGAGCAGTGGAGTCAGCACCAGTGTTTAATCCTGGTAAATATGAAGTAACATCACTAAAACGGATATACAGAATATAGAGTAAATGGCAGAACCCTTAGTAGCATTAACATACAGAGGGATCCAGGTTGTTCAGGCCCACAGTTCCCTGAAAATGGCAACACAAGTGAATAAGTTGCTCAAGAAGGCATATGGCGTTGGTCGGGGCATAGAGTATAAAAATTGGCAAGTCGTGTTGCTGTTGTGTAGAATTTTAGTGCGGCCACATTTGGAATATTTTGAACAGTTTAGATTGCCACACTACCAGAAGGATGAGGAAGCTTTGGCGAGGGTACAGAAATGGTTTACCAGGATGTTGCCTGGTTTGGTGGGTATTAGCGATGAGGAGAGAGTGGACAAACTTGGTTTGTTTTCATTTGAACGTTGGAGGCTGAGGGGTAACCTGATAGAGGCTCACAAAATTATGAGAGCAATGGGTAGAATGGATAGTCGGAGTTTTCTTTCCAGGGTAGAAAAGTCAATTAGCAGGTGACATAGGTTCAATGTGAGAGGGGGAAAGTTTAAAGGAGATGTGAGGGGTAGGTTCTTTTGCACAGATGGTGGTAAGTGCCTGGGGGAGGCGCTGTTGGTAGAAGCAGATACTGTAGCAATGTTTCAGAGGCATCTTGACAGATATGTGGATGGTAAGGGAATAGAGGGAGTTAGAAAGTTTTTAGTTTAGAAAGGTGTGTGTTGGCACAGACTTGTTGGACTGAAAGGCCTGTTCCCATACTTACTGTTTAGATTATAGAATGCCGACAGTATGGAAACAGGCCATTTGGCCCAACAAGTCCACACCAACCCTCCAAATAGCAGCCCACCCAGACCCACCCCCCTGCCCTATCCCTGTATTTCCCTTGGCTAATGCACCTAAACTACACATCCCTGAATACTACGGGCAAATTTCCCATGGGCAATTCACCTAACTTGCACATTTTTGGACTGTGGGAGGAAACCATAGCACCCAGCAGAAACCTGTGCAGACACAGGGAGGATGTGCAAACTTCAAACAGACAGTTGCCCAAGGCTGGAATCAAACCTGGATACCTGGTGCTATAAGGTAGAAATGCTATCCAATGAGCCGCCTTGCGACCCCTACTGTTCTTTGATAATCTGGCCATCACTATGTTTCTGTTTGTAGGAGCTTGCTCTGCAAATTGGCAGCTATGTTTCCTACATTACAAGAGTGAATGCACTTGGGATGTGCTGAAGTCATGAAAGATGCGATATAAATGCAAGTCTTTCTTTTTTAAGAATGTAGAAATGGGTGCTATCACTTGCAGCACGCAGTGCCAACTGCTTCTGGGGTATATGTGTAGGAAAAGGCCACCAGACATTTCATTTCAATCTTTTGTGTCAGTCTGAACCATGTCCACAAAGCATGACATTTTTTCTGTGCTCTTGCAGATTTCCTTTAAGGACTGAGAACCAAACTTTTAAATTAAACTAAAGTGAAAAAAACAATTCTAAATGGCTCTGGAGAGCTAAAGGACCAGTGGCCTGGATTGAAGTAAACAGCAGACAGTGCTTCGACATGCTAATTTTGCAAATAGTTAAGTGGCTGATGGGAGGTCATTGATCAATTGATTGATCGGGTTGATATGAAAAGAACTAGGAGGGCCTCTTGCGGTGCAAAGGTAGTATTCCCTCCCCACTCCCTGAACCAAGAGATCTGGGTTCAACCCCACCTGATGCCATAACATCCCTGAAGAGAATGATTAGAGAAAAGAGGTTAAATAATACAAAAGGAACTCAGGGAAGTTGGTGGGGTGGTGATTTAATGCCACTAGCCCAGTAATCCAAAGGCCTGGGGTTCAAATCCAGCTCGATATTGGAATTTAAAGGGACTCCTGCAGTACAGTGGCAGTATCCCTATGCCAGAACTGGGTTCAAGTCCCACCTGCTCCAGAGGTGTGTAATAACATCTCTGAACAGCTTGATTAGACAAATAGGTTAATTTAAAAGAAATTGAACTGAAGGCAAGGTTGCTAAATTTGCAGATGACACACCAAGATAAGTGAAGGGGCAGGTAGTGGGGACATGGGCAAAGAAGGAATATATTGTGGGAAAAGTGTGAGGTTATATACTTTGGCAGGAAGAATAAAGGTGTAGAACGACTCCCTACATAGGGAAAGACTTTGGAAATCTGAAGCACAAATGGGCTTAGGAGTTCAAGTTTAGGATTAATATGCAGGTTCAGTTGGCAGTTAGGAAGGCAAATGCAATGTTAGCATTCATTTCAAGAGGGCAAGACTACAAGAGCAGGGGTGTACTGCTGAGGCTATATAAGGCTCTGCTCAGACCGTATTTGGAATATTGCGAGCAGTTTTGGGCCCCGTATCAAAGGAAGGATATGCTGGCATTGGAGGGGTCCAGAAGAGTTTAACAAGAATGATCCTGGGCATGAAGCGTTGTCAATACGAGGAGACTTTGAGAGCTCTAGGTCTGTACTCAATGGAGTTTAGAAGGATAAGGGGAAATATCATTGAAACTTGCAGAATACTGAGGGGCATGGATAGAGCGGACATGGAGAAGATGTTTCCAGTAATTGGCGAGACTAGGACCTGAGGGCACACAGCCTCAGAGCGAAGGGCCAATCCTTTAGAACTGAGATGAGGAGGAATTTTTTCAGCCAGAGGGTGGTGAATCTGTGGAACTCATTGCTGCAGAGGGCTGTGGAGGCCGAGTCATTGAGTATAGTTTCTTGATTGGTACGGGGATCAAAGGTTACAGGGAGAAGGCAGGAGAATGGGGTTGAGAAACATATTAGCCATGATTGAATGGCACAGCAGATTTGATGGGCTGAATGGCCTATTTATACACCTACGTCCTGTGGTCTAGCCATTCCTAATGATTGTACTTAATTATAACTAATTGATTATGATGCAACTTGTTCTGACTCACCGTTACATCGCCAGGTCTGAAGAGAAACTGCCGGTTGAGGTTCGATTTTTCAATCGTATCCATGTCCGTCACTGTGATGCTCCCGCCCTCTCCTGCTCCCAAGCCAATCATGGCAAAGTTTTTCATCAGCTCACATCCAATGGCACCTGCACCAACCTGAGAGCACAGCCAGAGTAAAGCAATCCTCTAGGAACAGTCATCACATTATCTATCCAAGAGAGGTACGGTGACAGCACGCCTGATGGGAATATAAGCCTAACTTATATCATCTCTCCTCATAACTCAACATTCAGAGTACTGGTAGTTCAATGCTTATTGTCACGTTAGTTTATAAGGCCAGACATGGGGTTTGGTTAGCTCAGTTGGCTGGGCAACAGGTTTGGAATGCAGAGCGATGCCAACAGGTAGGGTACAATTCCTGTACCAGCTGACATTTCCATGATGGTCCTGCTTTCCCAACATTGCTCCTTGCCTGAGGTGAGGTGACACTTAGCTTAAGTTCGCTGCTAATTGTCTCTCCTTAATGAGAGAGTGGGATTCTGATGACCTTTTTTACCACATGAGAACACAAGACCCACTGGTCAGGCAGAGAAGATACACTGGTAAACACACTGTGGTATTACAGAAGCATCGATCCACACTTGGCCCAAGGGTCTAAACTTTATTTAATCTTTCATGGGATGCCAGTGGGTCATGGGTTAGGCCAGAATTTATTGTCCATCACTAATTGCTCTTCACAAGGCAGTACTCAGCCACCTTACTGAACTGCTACAAAAACAAAGTTGCTGGAAAAGCTCAGCAGGCCTAAATAACGCACTTCTGAAGCTTTAACTGCTGATGTGTTGTAGAACATGTGGCAGCTGATATGTGCACAGCAAGATCCCACAATGAGTTATGTGTGGGTTTCAGTAAGTGCTGACCAGGGCATCCCTGCAATCTTGCACATCCACCCGAGGGGCTTTAATTGCCTTGTCTGGAAAGTGTCACCAGACCTGTTGAACTTTTCCAGTAACTTTCCTTTTTGTTCTTGATTCACAGCATCTGCAGTTCTTTTGGTTTTTACTGAACTGCTAATGTGGTCCAAGTGGTGCTAAAGAGGGAGTTCCAGGATTTCGACCCAGTAACTGTGAAGAATGGCAATTGGTTCTAACCGAAGATGTGGTGTGGCTTGTAGGGGATTTCATTGATGGGGGTGTTCCAATTCTTCTGCCAGCCTTTTCCTCCTAGGTGCAGGTTGGGGATTTTCCATTACTGTCGAAGGAGCCTTGATGTATTATTGCAGTGCATCTTGTAGATGGTACTCCCTGCTGCGACTGTGCATCAGTGCTGGAGGGAATGGATGGTTAAAGTTGTGGATGGGGTATTGAAAGTGCTGTCCTACATGAGGAAAGGCAGAGGTGTTCACTGTAGTGAGGCTGATATTACCCAAAGTGGGCACCAACATTTTTGAGAGAATAAAAATACATCACTTCACCCAGAGGCCTCACCGATGATGTCACCTGGCATGGTGACAAAACGTATGAACAAGAACAAGCCAGCTTGGTGAGCAAGTCAACAACCTCACCCACAACCTGAGCTACAAATCTTAGCCAAAACTTTAAAGAATAAAAATGCTCTGAAAGCAGGGACTCAGATCTCGCCCTCCACTTACCAGGAAATATTTCTGCATCTTCAGCTCCTCTTGAAATTCAGCTCCAAAGATAGCGATCTGCCCATCATAACGACAGTTTCTCTGCACAAAACAAGAAAAAGGAGAAACAACAGGCCAGTCAGGTTGGTAATGTCAGAGCATGATAGGCCATTGCATTCTGTACTGATTGGTTCTCTGATTAAACTCACTCACAACTCAACTGACAATGTGAGCTGTATTCCAGAACATTGGACAGTGAGCACCATTTTCCAATTTCATCTTAGATAATCCCATCAGGAGTTTATCAATGCTTTTCCACCCATTAACTTCCCAGCCAGATTTATCCCCGATCTTTGTCATATAATTGATTGTGACCAATTAATCTTATTTTTCCCACAATAAACTCATTTATAAAATCTTGATCGTATTAACTAATTGGCTGACAATTGCTCCAAAGTTATCTTCTGCTGGATACACATCTGTGATGAGCTCAAACATTCGCACATTGCACTCACACCTACTGAGCGTAAATCAATTAACAGCTTGTTCTCGGAAGTTAATGCTTGGAATATACAAAACTCAATCAATCAGTCACAAAAACAGAGATTACCCAGTTCCAGCTCTGACTCAGCTGGTGACCCATTTCACCCCCATCGGAAGGTCAGGAGTTCAAGTTCCGGTCCAGGGACTCAAGGCCACGATCGAGCCTGACCCCTCAGGGGTGTCGCTTTCCAGACAAAGCAATTAAAGCCCCTCAGGTGGATGTGCAAGATTGTAGGGATGCCATGGTCAACACTTATTGAAACCCACACATAACTCTTGTGGGATCTTGCAGTGCACATATCGGCTGCCACATGTTCTACATCAAATCAGCTTCAGAAGTGCATTATTGGCCATGAGGTCAACTGAGGTCATACAGCCATAGAGTGACTGGGATCTACAGCACGGAAACAGGCTCTTCGGTCCGACTCATCCATCCATGGTAATGGAATGCACAACATGTTTCTCTCACTGATCAATGGCAACATCACTGGTAAATGCACTTCGATACAGCAAATTATGGGAGGGTGCACTTTGATGGGAATAATAAAAAGGGTCAGGTATTCCTTACAAAGTAAATGTCATGACTGAGGCCTGGGATTTTCACATGCAGACTGTTACAAGTAGATACGCAGGTCAAGAAGAGCATTACAAAAGAACAAACGAAACACAAATTTGTGTCTAGGATATTTGATTTAATCATAGAGTCACAGAATCATACAGTACAAGACGCTCCTTGGCCCATTGAGTAAGCACCGCCAAAAACATACTGCTACCTATAACAGTCCTACGTTCCCACACTAAGCCCATAGCCTTGAATGTTATGACACTTCAACTGCTGATCCAAGTATTTTTTAAAGGTTGTGAGGTGTCCCGCCTCAATTATTCTCCCAGGCAGTGCATTCCAGACCCTCACTGCCATCTGGGTGAAAAAGTTTGCCCTCAAATCCCCTCCAAACCCCCTGCCTTCCACTTTCAAAACATGCCCGCTTTCTATTGACTGAAAGCCAATAGGTTATAAACTTGTATAAAACTAGAAACACTAAGCACAGCTCCAGCTTCCCTAATATAGGCACTAGTTTAGGTTCAAAAAGCACCGACAAACAAAAAAACCTTTTCAAGAGCAATCAGTTCAGGTTTGGAATGCTCTGTTTGGAAGCGCGATACAGAGGGCTCAACTGAAACATCCAGGAGGGCATGGGATGATTGTTTGTGGGGAAATAGCAAGAGATTGGCATTAATTCAAAATGGTCAGAGAACAGGTCTAGGCATGTTGGGCTGAAAGACCTCATCTGCATGATAACAGCTCTGTGATGCAGGATGATAGTGAACTACAGGGCATCGCCTCAAAATAACGGGGAGCAGATTTAGGACTGAATTGAGGAGGAACTTCTTCAGCCAAAGGGTTGTGAATCTGTGTAATTCCCTGCCCAGTGAAGCAGTTGAGACTACTTCGTTGAATGTTTTTAAGGCAACAAAAGATAGAGTTTTGAACAGTAAAGGAATTAAGGGTTATGGTGAGTGGGCAGGTAAATGGAGCTGGAGCCACAAAAAGATCAGCCATGATCTTATTGAATATGTGGGGCAGGGTCAAGGGATAAGATGGCCTACTCTTGCTCCTATTTCTTATGTTCTTATGACTTATTAAAGGAGAAACTAGATAAATACATGAAATAGAATAAAACATGTCGATGAGGTTATATGAGGCTGGTGTGAAACATAACTTCTGGTATAAGCCAGTTGGATCATATGGATTGTGTACTGTATACTGTAAGCAATTCTGAAAGCAATGTGTTTATTTACACAAAGCTTCATAGAGATGGGCTCTTTAGAAAGAGAGTGAGGCTGTGGTATGTAGATCAGAATCCTGCTGATACTTACAGGTGCAAAATTTTCTTCAGGGAAAGGGACACCTTTGTTTTCTTCAGGCAAACACTCGAGTGCATCGAAGTACATCCACTGGTGGAGGGGCATGAACTTCCCTGTACAGGCCTGAAACCACATCAAGAGACAAATCAGTGCAGGGCAAAGAGGGAGCCATGGCATCACCAGAATCAGCATAGAATCGTAGAATCTCTACTGTGTGGAAGCAGGTCATTATGCCCATCAAGTCCACACTGACCCACCGAACAGCATCTCACCCAAACCCAGCCCCTACCCTATCCCTGTAACTCTGCATTTCCCATGGCTAATCCACCTCGCCAGCACCTCCCCGAACACTCTGGGCAATTTACCATGGCCAAGCCACCTAACCTAGAAAGGCATCATTAACTACACAAGAATAGAAAAACTAGGAGCAGGAGTAGGTAATTCAGCCTGTTGTGTGCATGTTCCACCATGACCAATCTCATCTTGGCCTCAGTTCCACTCTCCTGCTCGCTCTCCGTAACCCTCAAACCTATTACAAATTACAAAATCTGTCTACCTCATCCTCATATTTATTCAGTGTCCCAGCATCCACCACATTTTGTGGGAGCGAATTCCACTCATTCATGACACATTGAGAGACTCCCAATCTTCTTTGCTAACACAGGATAGAAATAGCTTGGAAAACAGAGTCAAAGTCAAGTTGACACCAAAGTCTGTACCCAGGACTGAGACACTGTGGTTTTATCGTGGAGCTTTCAAATCTTTTTCAGTGGCCAGCATAGCCAATGACCAATGTCCTGAGGCTAACTAACTCTCCACTGATTCACCCCTCATCACACACCCACATCTCATAAGAAGAGAAGTCCCATTCCCAACTTGCTTAGTTTTAACATGGTGGTGCTGGTGATAGACGATTGCAGGGTAGTTAAACAGCTCTGTGCCCCTTTACAACGTGGCTCCAAATCAAATATGGTGGCCTCAGGTCACAAAGAGTCTGTATTTGGCTTCACCTCTCTTTTACCTTCATGACTTCCTGAGCAGCGATGCCACCAATAAATGCAGTGATAGGACTCAGGTTGCCTCTGGCAACATAGGCCAGTTTTCTCACTAGGTTCTCATCCAAGGGCTCTTCATTTAGGATCGAAGGGTCATTCTCACTGAGCTTATTTGCAATGGCCACTAAGAGTTCTGCATCAGTCTACAAGAGAAATAGAAAGAACTAATAAGTTTTAAATATGCATATAATTTTTTTAACCTCTGTTCATGTATGTTTTCTTCTTTGACATTACATTTTGGTGGCTAATTGCCTTCATCAAAGTGAGGGATTTCACCGAAGGATAGAAAAATACTTCGATAAAAGCACAAGCCACATTTGCATTGTGCTTCTGGGTGAAAGAAAAGACTTGCATTTATATGGCATCTTTTACAACCACAGGATGCATTTTAAAACCTATGAAGTCCTGCTTAAAGTGGTCATCTGGAAATCTGAATCATAGAATCCATCTAGTACAGAAAGATGCCATTTGGCCCGTAAAGACTACACTGACCCTCCGAAGAGCATTCCACCAAGATCCACATCCTTACCTTATCCCTGTTACCCTGTATTTTATCATGGCTAATCCACCTAGCCTGCATGTCCCTGACCACCATGGGGCAATCCACCCTAACCTGCACATCTTTGGACAATGGGAGGAAACTGGAGCAAACCCACACAGACATGGGGACAATGTACATTGTCCACACAGACAGTCGCCTGAGGGTGGAATCAAACCCAGGTCCCTGGCGCTGTGAGGCAGCAGAGCTGACCACTGAGCCATGATGCTGCCAATTTGTGCACAGGGAGATCATGGCAAATAGCAAAATGATAATGGCTAGGGAATCCATTTGAGTGATGTGGATCAGATGATAAATATTGGCCAGGACACTGGACAAAACTTACCTGGTTTTCCTTGGAAGTAGCATCAGAGGATATTTCACGCTCACTTGGCTTAAGGTCTCAACCAAAAGATTGGACCTCCGATATTGCAGCACTCTGTCAGTGCAAAGAAGGCATCAAGGTTATAAGGTCACATCTTTGGAGTGTATCTTGAACCTACAAGGCTCTAACTGAGAGGCGACAGTATTACCCAGTGAGCCAGGCCTTGATATCTATGCTAGTCTTATCAAAGATCAACATTCATTTCAATAGCAGCAGGGAGGGATCTGGTGAACAGTAACAGGATGTTATTAAGTGGAGGATGCTATCTTAGGAGCTAATCCACCTGTAGGTACCAGGAACGCTCACCTTCTCCCAGGGTTTGGGGAGCCGTCTATAGTCTTTCACAAACTGATGGAGAGCCTGGAAAGCAAAATGCAACGTTCCCTGTCTGTTTACTTTCCCAAAGTCAGAAACCTGGTATTTCGGCTCCTTCAGTGCCTCCTTAAAGGATTTCTGTGAATGAAAAGGCGAGAGTTGGTGTAAGTAATCAGACTGGCAAGGGTCCTCTTGTACACTGTACTTGAGCATTGGCGAAGGTCACACTAAAACAGAGTCCACAGTGACTAACAACACCAACAGCTGTATACTCCTGCTAAAGCCATGCAACCTGCACCGACACAACAGATATCATTGTCTCTGGCCCCTCAATCTGCCTCATCGATGGAAGATCAAACTTTTCAGAGAATCCAAGAGTTTGGGAGGTTAAATTATGAGATGGTGTTGGATAGATTTATTCGAGTGTGGAAGATTGAGGGGGGATCTAAATGCACCATTTTCAACGGCAGGTTGCATTTAGAGAAACCAATTCCTCTGGTCAAGGTTTGCAGAACAAGGGGATATAATCCTGAACTTGGAGCTAGTCCAATTAGGAAGGAAATCAGGAAGCGCCTTTCTCACATGACATGTTGCTGAAAATGTGGAAATCTCACTTCTAAAAGCTGCGTGTGCTCGGACAATTAACTGAAGATTTCAAGACTTTTATTGGGATGTCACCGTCACTAGCAGGGTCAGTATTTATTGCTCATCCCTAATTAGAGTCAGGGAGTCATAGAGTCATACACCACGCAAATAGACCCTTTGGCCCAACTCGTCCATGCCAACCAGGTTTCCTAAACTGAACTAGTCCCATTTGCCTGTGTTTGGCTCATATCCCACTAAACTTTTCCTATTCCTAGTCGAAAGTCATGTTCTTGAACCATTGCAGTTTACATGGTGTAGGTACTAGAGGTGCCCTGAGATCAATACCTTGTTGTCTCCCTTTGGCATCAAGAAAGCTGAATCACAAAGCAGCCCCGACTGAACAAAATTGCGAAGCAGGACCTAAGGAGTTGACCAGCCTCCTATTCAAAAATGTTTGTCATTAAACAGTCCTGGGAAGGAGACAAACTTATGATGAATAAATTCACAGTTTGGTACCTTGCAGCTAGGGTGGCCAACCTCTAGAGGTTACCAGGGAGTGCTCAGGAATTGGACATTGGGTTACTAGACACATCCCATGAGTATAAAGATGTCACAGAGCAATTTAAAACATGGCTCCTCTTGTGACCAACACCAGGACGAGGTAGGGCACCATGTGAGCATGTGCAAAATCACAACACTGAGAACAGAATTGACTGCTCTGCCCAGATCAATTCAGCTATTGATCGCATTGACAGCCCACTATCAGACTTGAACTCGACGTGGCAAAGCAGCACAAGTCTGTAGAGTTTGGAGACCAGCTGGAAGTACGGGGCAAGGTAAGGTATTGATCCAGTCCAGCAAACTTTGTTTTAACCTGCACCTTATGAACCTGCACCCTTGATAAACTGGCAAAAATTATATATCTGAAATACTGAGAAGTTTACTGTCTTACTGCAATTTCTGAGTAGTCAGTTAAGGGAGCGAGCGAGAAGGCTCTCTCTCAATAAGTTTTATTTAAGGGTAAGTTGCACTATTATTTAAGTGATTTACTCTGTAAGTATAATAGCAATGTGTATACCCCTGCATGACATTTCAATTACTTAGTGTGTATTTTTACATTGATTATGTGGACCTCTTGATCAATCGGAATATTTGATCATCCATTTTAGAACCTGCTAAAGGTGAAGGGTCAGGTACTAAAGTGGCAATAGAGAATGGGCCAAAACATACAGACTTACAAACGTCAGTGTCTGCGGCATTTTTACTTCCGTCACAACCCCGCCTTGTTCGTAATTGCTAAAGTCACTCGTGTCACCGATGAAGAAGGAATAAGGATCTAAAGAAAAGACACAACAGAAATCAACAAGAAGTTTTCTTTTCTCTCTGAGGGGTGTTCAAATGTGGAACTCTCCCCCATAGCAGGTAGTGAAGGCTGGGTCTTTAAATCTATTCATAGAATCCCTACAGTGTGGAAACAGGCCCTTTGGCCCAACAAGTCCACACCCACACTCACAGCATCCCACCCAGACCCATCCCCCTAATCTACACATCCCTGGACACTATGGGCAATTTAGCATGGCCAATCCACCTAATCTGCACATTTTTGGACTGTGGAAGGAAACCAGAGCACCTGGAGGAAACTCACGCAGACACAGGGAGAATGTGCAAACTCCACACAGACAGTCACCCGAGGGTGGAATTGAACCCTGGTCCCTGGCACTGTGAGGCAGCAGTGCGAGCCACTGAGCCACTGTGCCACCCCAAAGGCTGAGTTAGATAGTCTTGAGATAGCCTTGAGTTCAAGGCTGAGTTAGATAGATACTTGATCGACAAAGGATTTAAGGATTACTAGGGGATGGACTGGAAAATAGAACTGAGATTGTGACCATTTCAGCCACAATTGTATTGTTCCGAAGAAGAGTCATACCAGACTCAAAACATTTACTCTGTTTGTCTCTGCTGCCAGATCTGCTGAGTTTCTCCAGCACCGTCTATGTTGAAAGAAGATTATTAAAAAATGTTTTTTAAGAACAGTTTGTTCCTGATTCGAGGGTCAGTCACCAGGATCACTGGACCCGAAACGTTAACTCTGATCTTTTTCTTCACAGATGCTGCCAGACCTGCTGAGCTTTTATTTCGCTTGGGAACCCTGCAGGCCAATGGTATCAATGTGGACTTTACAAGCTTCAAGATCTCCCCTCCCCCTACCGCATCCCAAAACCAGCCCAGCTTGTCCCTGCCTCCCTAACCTGTTCTTCCTCCCATCTATCCACTCCTCCCACCTCAAGCCCCACCCCCATCTCCTACCTACTAACCTCATCCCACCCCCTTGATCTGTCCGCCCTCCCTGGACTGACCTATCCCCTCCCAAACTCCCCACCTACACTCACCTTTACTGGCTCCATCCCTGCCTTTTTGCCCTGTCTGTCTCCTCTCCACCTATCTTCTCCTTTATCCATATTCTATCCACCTCCCCCTCTCTCCCTATTTATTTCAGAACCCCCTTCCCCTCCCCCATTTCTGAAGAAGGGTCTAGGCCCGAAAGGTCAGCCTTCCTGCTCCTCTGATGCTGCTTGGCCTGCTGTGTTCATCCAGCTCTACACCTTGTTATCTCTTTTTCCAGCAACTTCTGTTTTTGTTCCTGATTTGCAGCATCCGTGGTTCTTTCTGTTTTTATTTAGCTAAAGACCTGGTTAGTTGATGGATTAGAGTAAGGTTAGGAGGGTGGGAAGAGAAGATGATCTTTAAAAAAAAATGCAGTGGTTTATGATGCTCTGGAATGCTCTGTCTTGACAGGACAGAGGAATCAGATTCACTAGTAACACAGAGCTTTATAAACATGGGGTTATGGGGAGCAAGCAAAGCAGTTTGATTAATTGGCTAGCTTCTTGAAAAGAGCTAGTAGAGGTTTTATGGGCTGAACAGTCTTATGACTCCACAATGAAAGATACAGGGACACAGGCCATCCAGTTAGCCAAGACTCCTTATAACAAAACACAGGATGGTAAAGAGTATTGATAAAGTGCATCTCAAATTATTTCCAAATCAAACTGCAACAGGCAAGTCCATATCTCTAACAGGTTAATACGATCACACAGGATGTTAGTAATTATTTCACACAACTAGTGAAGTCTTTTATTTGCATTACGGAAAGCTTTTTCACACAGAAACATTCCTCCTCTTGCCTTCGTTATCTGGCAGGAAGATGTCATTGTGAGGTTTGACTGCCCCCTAGTGTTACTGAAAGCTGCTTACCATTAACCTGGACTTCAACGGGTTTGCAGTTGTTCAGTTCAGTCATGCCCTGAACTTGAGAGAAGGTCACGTAATCCCCAGTCTGAAATCCATGCCACGCTTCGTCTATGCAGGTCACCAGGCCGGACTTGCCCTACAGTTAAAAAAAAATCAGAACAACTTGATTTGTTTTATTTTAAATGCCTTTTCAGGGTTATGATTCCTGCACTCAATTACTGACCAAGCCTTTGATCAAAAGGAGCATTTGCACTGTTTTCAGTTTCTCTGGCTTCCTCCATGTGAGAGTAAAATCAATCAAACCCAGGAGATTCCTGGATGCCAACACTGGTCAACTCCCTCTGGTGTTGTTCCTGGTGCCAAGGAAGACATTAACTTGTTTGTCAGCTCTAACAAAATAAAAACCGAAAGAACTGTGGATGCTGTAAATCAGGAACAAAAACAGAAGTTGTTGGAAAAGCTCAGCAGGTCTGGCAGCATGTGTGAAGAGAAATCAGAATTAACATTTCGGGTCGCATGACCCTTCCTCAGAATTTAAATTCTGACACTGCCTTTCTCACACTTTCAATTAACACTTATTATTTATTCCTTTCTGATATAACTACCTCGGAGGTTGCAGTATTCCATTTTACCCTGGAAGATCTGGATAATGATTTGTGCCCTAGCTCCACATACGATCACACAGGATATACAGTGCAGAAGTAGGCCATTTGGCCCATCCAGTCCATTTGGGTTTCATTGTGACTGTCTTGATTTGACAGTCTCTTGTTGGGCTCTTCCCCACAAGAGGAAATATTCTGTCCATATCCACTTGTACAAAATCTTACAGGATTCTAAAGTCCTCTGTTTGGTCAACACTCAAACCTTTTCTTTCAAGAGCAAAGAGACGGTCATCTCCTGTTCTTACACCTTTTAAATTTTTTTATATACGAGGAAGAGCATGACGGTATTTGGTAATATCTTGCCTCCATTGTCCAGCTTGTTGAGAGTATCCTCGCTTGATTTCATGATTGTCTATCAGATTGTAACAAGAGCGATGGTCTGTCAATGACCAATGCCCCCCACCATGCACTGTGACCTGTGATCTCTGATAATATGCTCTGGCCCCCTCCTCTTCCTCATGCTTCCCCTTGAAGTCAATTCCACGTGTGTACACCAATGACACTCAGCTCTAACTTTACACTATTTGTCTCAATCCATTCCTGATTATCCATTGTCAGATTGCGGCCTGACATTCAGCCTTGGGTGAATTGAACATTGCACCAGCTAAAGATTAGGAAAATTGAAGAGATTGTGTTTGGGAATTGGCTGGGGGCAGTTGATATACTGCCACAAATTTCCCATACTTTACCCCCATCCGAATCCACCTGAGACCTCCCCTGTATCAGCAGCAGTGGATAAATTATGTCACTGGCACCATTGATTGGAAGTGGTAAGTGAGTCACAGCACCAGGTGGAGCGTTGTATTGGCGAATGCAATACATGGAAGAGCATGCAATGTTTCTCAAGTGTGTGAAGGCAGAGTGTCTGTGCATTTGTCTAGTGTCTACCGAGTCCTGTACATTCTCAGAAGCAGTTAGCACTCTCTGCAAACACCCACTAAAAAGGCCGTGAAAATCACATCTCTCTGGATCAGACTGATGAACAAGAAAGAAACAGAGAGGGAGATAAAGACAAAACATGGCAAGTCGCTCCATAGTGGAGGAAGCAGTTTACCTTGGTGATCCAGGTTACTAATGCTGTCTGGAGTTCTTCACCATTCTTGTCGATCACTGTGAATTTCTCCCCAAAGTCACAGAACAGTTGGCTGTTAAATAAAGCAGAAACATCCAGTGTATGAACTGAACTTGGCATTTCAGAAAGCCTGAATTCACAGATGTCCACCTTTCAGCCCATCGTACTGCTGCCAAAGAACTATCCAACCATTCCACTGTTTACAAAAGAAAAGATGTCCAATAGGAATGACTTCTACTCTAATATTTGAAAACTTACTGTCTTGATTGGCTGAATCACGCGGTCTGGAATTTTATCAAGATGTCGTGATCTTTAATGAGGTTAGAAAACTTCCTCCTGGTAACCAGTCTCCCCACAAATCGGGCCACATCCCCAGACTAGAATAAATAAACATGGCGCCATTTTGTTTTCTGTAATTCCTCAAAAAAAAAGGTTCCTCCGATTGAAATGTTTTTGACAGAAAGATACTTGTAGGGGACTTTTTAAAACCTTATTGTAAATTCTATTTCTTGGGATGTGAGTATCGTTGGCTAGGCCAACATTTATTCCCCGACACTAACAGCTCTCGATGAGTTAAGGTCAGCAGCCATCTTGAAAGGCTGTAAAGATTGGGGGTGTAGGCACACCCACATTGCTGTTATGGAGGAACTCCCAGGATTTTGACCCAGTAACAGTAAGGGGAGGCGATATTTTTCAAAGTTGAGATGATATGTGGCTTGGCAAGGAAGGTGATGATGTTCCCATGTATCTGTTACCCTTGACTTTCTCGATGATGGAGGTCATGGGTTTGGCAGGTACTGTTGAAATGAAGATTTGCAGTTCATCTTGTAAAACACATTAAATATTAAAGAATTTTTAATGACTAAGAAACTGAATAGTCTACAAGTTTCAGTTCAGCTTTCCTAAAGTCATTTGTAATGATTAAGATCAGGGTCCTTACAAGTGCTGGACCAGACACAACCAAAAATGCTTATATCAAGCGTCCTGCTTTATTGGCACTACATCCATAAATATCCACTCCCTCCACCACTAGCTACATTGCACTACAAAAATTCACCAAGACTCCTTAGAAAGACTGTAATGTTTGTCTTTTTAACTTTGCTTCTTATTTTTCTGACCTATGGTAATACCGTGTACAACGGTAATGTCACTTCTTTTCTCCTCATTTCTCTATTCTGTAACTAAGGATTGTACGGAGGTACCTTTGTACCTAAGATGGTGCTGTAAGTGGCGACTTATAAACTTTTTACTATACTCATTTGAGTACATGTGACAATAAAGCTAATTCAATTCAATACAGAACATCTCCCAAACCCACAACCACTACCATCTAGAAGGACAAGGGCAGCTGATACATGGGAACACCCTTCCAAGCCATTCAGCTTCCAGATTTGGAAATATATCACCGTTCCTTCAGTGTCATTGGGTCAAAATCCTGGAACTCCATCCCTCATGACATTGTGGTCTGCCTGCAGCACATAGATAGTTTAAGAAGGCATTTTGCCACCACATTCTCAAGGGCATCTAGGACAGGCAATAAGTGCTAGTTTAGCCAGCAATGCCTACATCCCATGCGTGAATAAAAATACTCTCAGATTGCGGTAGAAGGCCATTGGTGGCACTGATGTTGGGTGGGCAATCCATCGTCCTTATCAGCTCATTGCTCCCCAGTAGTTGTATCAAACCACTCCCCACTGGGAATAGTTTGATACAACTGAGTGGCTTGCAACCACAGTTCGTCATGACCAAACCAAGGACACCCACACCCAAAGAAAAGACAGGCTTGCATTTATATAGCATCTTTCACAGCCACCAGAAAGCACAAAGCAATGTATATCCAATGGAGCACTGTTTGAAACCCAGTCACTGTTGTAACATAGGGGATGTGGCCGCTAGTTTGCAATCAGTAAATTCCCACAAACAGCAAGATGATAACAACTGGATAATGTGTGTTTTGTATCATATCAACTGATGGATAAATATTGGCCAGGACACTGGGGGATAAATGCCTTGTTCTTCTTCAAAGTAGTGCTGGAAAAACTTTCCTCACCCCCTGAGTCAGGCACAGTGCATCTGTTTAAGGTGTCAGCCAAGACACCTCCTACACTGCAATGTTCCCTCAATGCTACAGTCACATACCCATCTGGATTTTTGTGCTCAAGCCCTGGAGTGGGATTTGAACTCAGAAATTCAGAAGCAAGCATGCTACCATCCGAGCCATAGCTGACAAAAAAAATACTTACATGCAAATAAACTAGAAGGAGCATTACTCTTACATATCCCAGTTGGAGTATGTGAAGATGGCGAGGATGATGTTATCATCCAATTCAATATTTACAAACCGTGGCGAGCCCTTACCCAAATAAGCCTTTAGTGTCCGCCACAATAAACTTGGTATTATAGTTATGACAAAACTCCCCGATTTGCAGCTGTTCCTCTAGTGTGGAATCAGTCAGCACAACCACCTAAGGAGGAGAATTTTAAATATTTTAGACAAGGGGTAATTAGTCATTCCAAAAGTTTCAAGTCTCATAGTGCGCAGATTCGTACTGAAATATCACCAGATTCCCCATGATCGTTACACTCAATAGGTGCAGCCAGTCACAGATGAACACAGCTTCCTCCATCAACTGGAATTCACTGAACCAATGAGATAGCCTGCAGGAAAAAGTTGTCCAAATGCGGGTCTTTAAGTCTTTTGTCAAGAACTGCACACGTGGTTCCAAATGGCACCTTGTTCACAATATCATGATGATTTTCAGATGTTCAATACACATCTTAGATAGTTAATGCCCAATTTGAACCCCTCCCATGCTGGTGACTTCCATATTCTGTTACATTTTGACTGATGCTTAAAAAAGCGATACATTTTGTCCACGATTTTTGTCTTGCACTCATCAGGACAATTTGCAAGAATAACCGATATGAGGGGAAAACCAACATTGATTTAGCATTAAAGGAGAGTGCTGATTGGTTGGCAAGTGGAATATCAGTATTGCCCTTGAATTGGTATTCTTGCAAACAGTCCTGAGACAAGAAACGTCCACAAAATGTGTCTTTTTTCAGCAATATTTGAATTCTATACAATAAAATGATTATTTTGTTCTATTTGTGAAACTGTCGATGAGTAAATAAAGTATCAGAGAAAATAAGGCTTGTATTTATGTAATGACTTGCAAGACTATTGGACATCCAAAAGTGCTTTACAGCGAATGAAATACATTTTGAAGTGTAGTCACTTGTTCACAGCTGAGGGGAAGAATCAAACACTCAGCTCTTTGGGGCTGCCTGGCATGTTTTAACACCTCAGGGTGTCATTGCCACCTTTCAGGACCCAATGTTTCTGGAGGGTGGATCGCTGTGTGACCAGAAGAGACCCCCACAACCCTGTATAATTCAACCCCAAGGTATATTAAAGACAGACTGATTAAAGAGTGGCCTCCAGGTTGACTGTGCAATCGTGAAAGTAACTAATAGAGAAAAAAACATTAGAAACAAAAGCAGAAATTGCTGCAGAAACTCAGCAGGTCTGGAGCATCTGTGGAGAGAGAAAACAGACTTAAACTTTCGAGTCCAGTGACTCTTCATTTGAGGAGAAAACAATAAATTGCAGATTGTATTAGAATTCTCAATTTGGTGCAAAAGAAGTGGAATTCCTAAGCCAAGATTTTAAGTTAATTTTTCTTGGCGATTGGCATCTGATCCAGCACATAGTCCCGGGAGCAGGGCTAATGGTAAATTTGAGCAGGATTGAAAATATCGTTTTAAGAAAGGTCTTCATTTCTTAATATGTTTACTCCGATCCATTTACAAACAGGTTTAAGAGAATTTTCTTTACTTCCACTTTACCTGGAATTGGCATAAGAAGTCCTCAGTTAATTTCCCGGTGTATGAGGATACAGGAACATAACTGTTCAGTTCTGCCAGCCGGTGCTCAGATGCCTTAGCCCTGTTCTTCCCGATATCGTGTACCGTCAGGAAAAACTAAACACCGGAGACAGAAACTCAGGAAATTAGATATTTTCTCATCATCCTCTTCAGTGATGTTATGACACACCGCTGGAGCAAGTAGGACTTGACCCCAGGCCTCCTGGCTCAGGAATAGGGACACTACCACTGTGCCACAAAAGCATTTGCACACAGTGCCAGAATAGAAATAGAAATCGGATGCTGGAAATCAGAAACACAAACAGACATTGCTGGAAAAGCTCAGCAGGTCTGGCAGCATCTCTGGAGAGAAATCTGAGTTAAAGTTTCGGGTCCAGTGACACTTCCTTAGAACTGAGTTATTTCAATTAGTTGTTTGGTAGTAGAGCACTTGAGTATTGCTGAAAAAAGATGCAGTTATGTTCCTTTCCTCTCTATGTTATTAACTGACTTCCCCCTTAATTAATTTGTGCTAATCATCTGGCAGCTACAGTGACATTCTCAGCAATTTCAAAGTTAAAAAAAAAATTCCTGAATTGTTTGTTGGACATATTAGTGAATAAACTTTTATACTTACAGATCTGTTAACCAGGTGGGTAATGGCACTTTGTTTTTTTTTAATTCATGGGATGAGGATTTCATTGGTTAGGCCAGCATTTGTTGCCCATCCCTAACTGCCCAGAGTCAACCACATTGCTGTGGGTCTGGAGTCACATGTAGCCCAAGCCAGGTAAGGATGGCAGTTTCCTTCCCTAAAGGACATTACTCAACCAGATGGGTTTTTGCAACAGCTGATTCAACAACGGATTCATGGCCATCATTAGACTCTTAATTCCACATTGAATTCAACTTCTACAGCAGGATTTGAACCCAGGTCCCCAGAAAACTACCTGTGTCCCTGGATTAATAATCTAGCGATAATACCCCCCCATGGCTTGTGGCAGCTTCTTCAGAGAGCCACCAACTTATTCTATTTAGAATCCCTGCAGTGCAGATAGAAGCCATTCAGCCTATCACGTCTGCTCCAACCCTCTGAAGACAATCCCACCCTTTCACATATCTCTGCATTTCCCATGGCTAATCTACTTAACCTGCACATCTTTGGACTGTGGGAGGAAACCAGACATGGGGAGAAAGTGCAAACTTTACACAGACAGATGCCCAAGGCTGGAATCAAACCCTGGTCCCTAGCACTGTGAGGCAATACTGTGAGCCACCATACAATCGTCCATCCTTTCCTTAGAGTCTTGCAAAAATTTCTTTTCAGTGCATATCAAATTACATTTTTAAAGTTACTATAGAATGCACTTTGGCATTCGTTCAGGCAACAATTCATAGATAAAAGCATAATTTGTTTCCCTCTTATCCTCGAATGCCTACCAAGCTTTTAGCTAGACTGGAGAGAGGAAAAAGTTGGAGGATTTTGTTATTTTTCTCTGGTATATTGACTGCACACTGGTAGTAAGTGGCAATTTGGTCTGCACGGTTTTGTGAATCTGGCCAGGTTTGAGGAAATGACGGCCATACCTGAGAGGAGAGATCATTCCATTCTGTGTTCCCTTCGTCGTGAACTGTCACCTTTTTCACTCCCCCAAGGATGATGTTCTTGGCGATCTCCACACCAAGTCCTCGCATCCCAGAGATCAACACACTGGAATTCTTCATCTGTTTCATGGCCTGGTGGCCCAGCACATATCTACAGGGGTGATTCAAAACCAAATTGGATAGGTTCATAGGCGTTAGGAGTGGTCTTTCGAACCTGCTCTGCCATTCAATAGATTGTGGCTAATCTGATTGTAGTCTCAACTCCACTGTTTGCCATAGGCTCCCCTTGTTACCAAAAAATCTAATTCAGCCTTGAATAAATCCAATAAGCCAGCCTCCAGGACCTTCTGGGGAAGGGAATTCCACACACGAACAATCTGATGAGAGCAAATAATTTATTTTTGCCTTCATCTTATTCTGAAACTAGTTCTCTTCTTCTACACAAGAGGTAACATCCTCTTGGTATCCACCCCCTCAAGTTGCTCAGGATCTTGTGTGTTTCAGTCAGAATGCCTCCTATTCTTCAAAGCTCCCATGAGTCCAGGCCCAACCTGTTCAACCTTGCCTCATGAGAGAAGTCCTTCGGGCCAGGAATGACTCCCATGATCCTTGTCTTTTCCAAATATCTCTTCTCAAATAAGGAGACTAAAACCATACACAGTACTCCAGATGTGCTGTATGTGGGCCTGGAAAGGTTCTGAAAGGGTTAATGTTGAGGAAGACCACGAGCATCACCCACTATGATGACATTATGGACTTGTGGGGCCTAACATCTGGTGTTCCTCAAAGTCTCTGTAACAATATCCATCATATCAATGTAACCTGTAACTAGTTGCTAAAATGCATGAACATAACTTGCTAACAAAAATAGACTATTCCAGTCAGAACAGGAAGTCACCTTCCTCTATCACGTTAGATGCAACAGATCATGTAGATTCCTACAATTAAAGAGGATGGAGGGAAAAACCTTCATCATGAGCAGCAGTTCCTATTGAGCTAGCTAAGCCATCGAACACATGTCTCACCAATGCCTTGTACAGATGCTGTACAATATTCTTACATAATCCATTTCCCTTGCATAAATTTCAACATTCCATTTGGCTCCCTAACTACATCCTGTAGCCGCATGCTAACTTATTTTTATTCACTCGTGGGATGTGAGTGTCGCTGGCTGGCCAGCATTTATTGCCCATCCCTAAGAAGATGGTGGTCCACTACATTCTTGAACCTCTGCAGTTCTGTAGATTGGCCTCAGGGAGCGAATTCCAAGATTTTGACCCAGTGAAGGAACGGCAATATATTTCCAAGTAAGGACAGTGAGTGGCTTGGAGGGAAATTTGCAGATGGTGGTGTTCCCATCTACCTGTTGCCCCTGTCCTTCTATGTGGAAGCATTTGTGGGTTTGGAATGTGCTGTCTAAGATGTCTTACTGAACTTCTGCAGAGCATCTTGTAGATAGTATACACTGCTGCCACTGAGAGTTGGTGGTAGAGGGAGTGACTCTTGTGGATGTGATGCCAATTGAGCAGGTTAGTTTGTCCTGGATAGTATCAAGTTACTTGAGTGTTGTTGGAGCTGCACCCATCTAGGCAAGTGCGGAGTATTCCTTCACACCCATGCTTTATGGCTCATGGATGATGGACAGACTTTGGGGAGTCAGGGGATGTGTTACTCACTGCAGAATTCCTAGGCTCTGACCTGCTCTTGTAGTCACAGTGTTTATGGTGAATCCAGTTGAGGTGTCTGGTCAATAGTAACCCTAAGGATGTAGATAGTGTGTTTCTGATAGAAAGCTTTTGTAGTTGATGTAACTGGACACCTTACTCATTAACTTTAGTTTTAATATCCTGGCCTTGTCTTATGGATTAATCTGCACTTTTGAAATTGGATATGTGTAGGGGTGCAGTGAAGCCTCTTGCCTGTGTACCCCAGAATCTCTTCAATCTGAAACCAGTTAATCACCCGCAGTGAGAAGAACCCTGTGAAGCCTTTAAGACTAAATTAACTGAAGAGATTTGGTGCGCGAAGGAACAGATGGTTGTAAATGCATCATTCTGTTGAAATGGGAGTACAAATACATATAGCAACGGACCAAGACTTTTCTGAATGCTGTTAGGGACATTGGGTTCAGGATCAAAAAGGTAATGATAGATTTATACATAGAATCCCTACATTGTGGAAGCAGGCCATTTAGCCCATCAAGTTCACACTGACCCTCCAAAGAGCATCCCACCCCCCTACCCTATAACCCTGCATTTCCCATGGCTAATCCACCTAACCTGCACATCCCTGGACACTACGGGGCAATTTTAATATGGCCAATCCCCCTAACCTGTATATCCCTGGACACTACGGGACAATTTTAATATGGCCAATCCGCCTAACCTGCACATTTTTGGACTGTGGGAGGAAACCGGAGCATCCGGAGGAAACCCATGCAGACACGGGGAGAATGTGTAAACTCCACACAGACAGTTGCCCAAGGGTGGAATCGAACCTGGGTCCCTGACGCTGTTAGGCAGCAGTGCTAACCACTGAGCTACTATTTTGCCCCATGTAATGTAAAGCTGCCTCAATCCATGTAATGGATTGGCCACAATTTAGTGTAAAGTTTTAGAAGTCTTTTTTTCTATAAATTCACTCTTGGAATGTGACTTGTTAGCAAGACCAGCTTTTATTGGCCTTAAGAAGGCATTGCTGAACTTCTGTTTGTTACAATGGTTTTTGGTACACATCAGTTGCTTGCTAGACCACTTCTGAGGGCAGTTTAGGAGGTAACAATGTTTGTGAAAGACTGGAGCCACATTTAGTCGTACTTATAGAGTCATACAACACAGAGACATGCCTTTCAGCCCAGAATGGTCCATGCCAACCAAAATGTCCATCCACGCTAACCCCATTTCTTTGCACTTGCCCATATCCTTCTAAATCGTTCTTATCCCTGTATTCATCCAAATGCCTTGTAAATATTGTTAATGTACCCACCTCAACTACTTCCGCTGGCAGCTCATTCCGTATGCATACCGTCCTCTGTGTAAAATAGTTGCCCTCAAGGTTCCCATGCATTCTTTCCCCCCTTACCTTAAACTGATGCCCTCTTGTTCTCGATTCCCCAATCCTGGGAAATAGACTGAGTGCATTCACCCTATCCATGCCTCTCATGATTTATACACTTCCATACGATACCCGCTAAGTCTCCTACACTTTAAAGAAAAAAGCCCTAGCTTGTCCAATCTCTCCCTATAACTCAGTCCCTTGAGTCCTGGCAACATCCTTGTAAATCTCTTCTGCACTCTTTCTAGTTCAATAACATCCTTCCTACAGCAAGGTGACCAAAACTGAATACAATACTCCAAGTGCAGCCTCACCAATGTCCTGCACAACTGCAACATAACTTCCCAACTTCTATACTCAATGCCCTGACTGATGAAGGCCAGTGTGCCAAAAGCCTTCTTCACTGCCCTGTCTACCTGTGAATCCACTTTCAGAGAACCGTGCACCTGTGCTCCAAGGTCCCTCTGTTCCACTACACTCCCTAAGGCCCTAACATTCACCATGAAACTCCTAGACAACAAGGTGCAGGGCTGGATGAACACAGCAGGCCAAGCAGCATCATAGGAGCAGAGAGGCTGACGTTTCGGGCCTAGACCCTTCATCAGAAAAGGGGGAGGGGAAGGGGGTTCTGAAATAAATAGGGAGAGAGTGGGAGGCGGATAGAAGAGGGATAGAGGAGAGGATAGGTGGAGAGGAAACAAACAGGTCGAAGAGGCGGGGATGGAGCCAGTAAAGGTGAGTGTAGGT